TGAATTTGTTAAAAAGAAAGCATACATACCACCGGACATAGGTTATATACTTATATATATACTAGAACCCGAACCCGGCCCACGTGATGCCGCGCCGGTATTGTGTGCTATAAAAAAATGTATAAAATTGTACACATACATAAGTAAAACAAGTTTGATGCAACAAAATTAAACTAAAACAACCTCAACGTTAAAGTTGGCTTGCAATTTTCCACCGAGAAGACAGGTAACTCGGTCTGCCCAGAACCTGCAACCATATTAGATATGTTCAATTCAAGACACGAATCATGAATTGTTGTTTGGATTGTCAATTCTTTGCAGCCCAAGGCCTTAAAATAGCCATGAAATCAGTTCGATTAACAATCATTCACTTGATATAACGATTGATCGGCGATGGCTGTTCGTATGTGAAATGTCAGCCAGCCGATCTTCCTTTACCAGTCACACACTGCATATAATTTTCAATATCCCAAATTTGGAATCGGCATCTAAGGATTTCCCTAGAAACCGGCCACTTGAATTTCTTTGTTAATAATAAAATATTGTACTTATCACACAAAAATATTTATCTCCTAAAATTTCTAAAAAAAATCGGCCATTAAATTTCCATGTTAATAATTAATTATTGTACTTACTGCACAAAAAATATAAAGATCTGATGTATGATAACAAAAATACAGATCAAACGCTATTAGCATAGGCCTTGTGACAGTCAGAAGTAAGTATTGGCAATCAACAACATTAATAAGCTACTGAAAATACTTTCTCGTGTCATCTTCTCGCTTCATTCTACGGCTTTTTCATTACTTATAAAAAAATATATTATTACAAATTAGTTTCGACTAACATGTAAACAGAATCCAAAGAATATCCACATAGGCTTTTAATTAAAACAATTGGATACATTTCACAACTATTAACTTTGATAAGAAAGTCCAACATTTAGGTTTGTGAAGGAATAAATTTAAATCTTACAATTTTGTCGAAGAGCTCTCACCCGGTCATGTGTTCCAGAACAATAAATATTTTGGTCGTACTCATCACTAACTGATTGAAACCAACACCATTAGAAGCAGACAGGAAAAGTACATTTTAATTAGCTAAGAACACAAGTGTCTCCAAATTATCAAATCTCTTGCAACATATTTCTAATTAAGAATATGCTTGGTATTTCACTAAATTGAAAGAGAGGGCCAAACAGAGAGATAAGACCTCGGCAATTGGATAGGGTTCAATCGCGAGGGCTGAAGCTAAAAGAAGTTTTCGATTCGGCCTCCGTTTTCAGCAGTTCTTCCGACATATGTGCTCAGATCTGACGGCTGGATTTCGTTGGGAAGAGATCGGCAGCAGAGTTTCAGCTGATTCTAGAGGCCAGATTTTGTTGGAAGAGGATGTAGTATGGTGACTGTCGCTTGCAAAAGATTAGACATCGATCTCGTGGAGGGAAGGACGAACGTCTAAATATTTTTATTTTTTATAGGTTGAAGGGTAACATTGTCAATTCAAGTGGCAAACGTACAAAACTTCCATTTAATAGGTTATAATATATTATATCATATAAATACGAGTTTTGTACGGATCTGCCACTTGAAAAGTCTATCTTGCCCCTCATTTCAAAAATGACAATTTAGCCCTTCACCTACCCTTGTACTGGCTTGAAAAGACGTTTAATACGAGTTTTGTACGGACCTGCCACTTGAAAAGTCTATCTTGCCCCTCATTTCAAAAATGACAATTTAGTCCTTAACCTACCCTTGTACTGGCTTGAAAAGACGAGATTGTACGGGTCTGCCACTTGAAAAGTCTATCCTGCCCCTCATCCCCCGACCTGAGGCCGTCCCGACCTGAGGACTTCCGGACCTGACCACTTTCCGTCTTGAGGACTTCCCGACCTAAGGACTTCCCGTCCTGACCACTTTCCGTCTTGAGGACGTCCCGACCTGACCACTTTCCGTCTTGAGGACTTCCCGACCTAAGGACTTCCCGTCCTGACCACTTTCCGTCTTGAGGACTTCCCGACCTAAGGACTTCCCCTCCTGACCACTTTCCGTCTTGAGGACGTCCCGACCTGACCACTTTCCGTCTTGAGGAAATCCCGACCTGAGGACTTCCCGACCTAAGGACTTCCCGTCCTGACCACTTTCCGTCTTGAGGATGTCCCGACCTGACCACTTTCCGTCTTGAGGAAATCCCGACCTGAGGACTTTCCGACCTGACCACTTTCTGTCTTGAGGACTTCCCGACCTGACCACTTTCCGTCTTGAGGACGTCCCGACCTGACCACTCTCCGTCTTGAGGACCTCCCGACCTGAGGACTTCCCGACCTGAGCGCAAATTTTTCTACTTTTCTGCCCGACTTCAGGTCCTACCTTCGTTCAAGACCCTGCTACCATTATTTTTATTATTATTATTATTTTTGTACGTAACACCTTAAATTTGATTTTTTAGCGTCTGAAAAGTCTATCCTGTCCTTCGTTTCCAAAATAACAATTTCCCGTCCGTTTGTACTAGCTTCAAAAGACGAGCTTGTACGGATGTGTCACTTGAAATGTCTATCTTGCCCCTTATTTCGAAAATAACAATTTAGCCCTTCAACCTACCTCTGTACTGATTTGCTTATCGACAACCCCTTCACAACTGTCTATTCACACACCCACTTGCTCTGCTCTTCCGCTTACCTCCTGAAATCGCAGGTCAGGCCGCCGTTCTTGGCGTCCAGCCACGCCTTTCTGTATCATCATCTTCATCACAATGTAGTTTTCCTAAACAGTTGGGCTTTCCCGTGTGTAATCTGTGTTGTTGTGAACCGGAAGCGCAATTTTGATTCGCCATCGAAAGTACAGATCTCTGCCTCAACCACTTTTAGTGTAAGTTTTGACTCGTTTTTGCTTCCGTAGAATTTACTTACTGCTATTGTTGGCGTCTTTTAAAAGAAGGGCTATTTTTATTCTGTTTTGTCAACGTTTTAATTCTTACCCACTGAATTTGGGAAGAAAAAGAGCCACAACTTATTGCATGATCTTTCGGGCAGCTGGAATACGAGGCTTACGGTAGAATTGGTTCTATTTTTTCTGGACTATGATGTCATATTTCAATATGTTATGATGCAAATGGCCCTAAGAATTGCTCTCTGACCTTATAAATTGCATTCTATGTAAACTATTTGACTTAGAGTAGCATATTTATTTTTACGACTTCTTCGGCAATAGCGTTGATAAATTTGCTCTTTGTTATTTCTGATTTTCATATTCAGGGCTCTTGATTGTGGAAGAAATGGTCAAAACATAGAGTAATCTTGTGCAAAAAAAAGGTATATTTTCTGTTTAAACATGCTTGTTTTTCCCCAGTTAAATTTTATAGTGAAAAGAAATTATCTTTATATCTCATTGTTATTGAATTATTTGAGAAAGTTTTGTTTTTACCACGAAAAAAATGGATTAAACATGTTTACTAATTTTCTATAGTTGACTTTAAAAGTAAAGCTAATGTATTAGTTGATTTGGGTATTAAAACTTGTATGTTGTTATCAATTTATATTTACTTTGTCGGGCATAAGTAACCTTCTTATTTACTTTTTTTTTTCGTTTTGTGTCTTTTACTTTTCTCAAATTCTTATTATTTATTTGTTTTCTACCTACAACTACTTTTTACAGCCCATGACACAATCTCAGTCATTGCAATGCATTAGACGTCGGCAACAAACATGTGATCGCCGATCAGCTAACCAAACAACTAATAGTCAGCCGGTTAACCAAACATGTATGCACATTCTGTCTTCTACTTTCGGTTTTTAGTTTATTAAATTTTTAAATGTTGTTACTTTACTTAATTTATTATGTATCTTCGTATCTATTGAAACTTTACTCATCTTGCCAGCATGCTCTCCACTACTACGATTGTCTGCCATTTATGTGTCGCCTTGGGTAGCACCCCAACCGACAAAATGTCGTTACTGTGGTGCATTATTATTCCACCGTGAGCATAAAACCCTATGTTGTGCTGGTGGGAAGTTTTCCTTACTGCTATTGGACATGCCACCTCCTTTGCAAGACCTTTTCCTTAATCGCCATGAACTATCATCTCATTTTCGTACTTATGTTAGAACTTATAATAACTCTTTTGCTTTCTCTACATTAGGAGTTCACTATGACGTATCTTTATGTAATAATGATCACAACTTATATATATTTCGTGTTAACAATACAATTCACCATTTCATTAACTCATTACTTCCCTCAACAAATGTACCGAGAAACCTGCAACTTTATTACTATGATCCTACACAAGAGCTTGCCACACGTTTGAGTAATTACCCTACTTTACATCCATCTATTGTTACAATCTTGATTGAGTTGTCTCATCTGAACCCTTATGCAAGTTTATTCCGTCAATTGTATACAATGCCTTGTCTTGATAACTATAAAATATTTCTAAAAACCTCCAATCGATTAGATCGAAGAGTGTATAATCTTCCACGGGTTGATGATATATCAATTATATGGCAAGATGGGTCTTCAGATTGTCCCCAATTATCTAGAGACATACAAGTATATCCGGTTGATGGTTCTGTGAAAAAGGTTGATTATTATTCTTATGCCTATGATCCTGTTCAATATCCATTGATCCATCCTTTTGGCCAGCCAGGTTGGTATCCCGGCATTCTAAAAAATTCTGCTACATCTTCGTCTTCCTCTACACAGTCCACACCTAATTTATCAGCAGAGTCGTTTCATACTGAACAAGTTGACCTATCAATAAATAGCTCCTCAGATTACAGTATGCAATTAGGACGTAATAAACGCCGGATGGACAAGAGTCATGTCTCTATTAGAGAATACTATGCATATCGCCTCCAAATACGGCCTACAAGTCCTACTTTACTATTACATACTGGTCGTTTGTTACAACAATATATAACTGACCAGTACATAAAAATAGAAACTCAAAGGCTAGATTTTTTCAGGTCTGAACAAGTGCAAAAACAACACCGTCACGACACCATGCAGGGTATTCTAGACGCTTTTAACCAATCCCAACATGAACCGTTATCTATGATTGGACAACCAGTTGTCCTTCCATCTTCTTTCATTGGTGGTCCCCGTGACATGCAACAAAGATATATGAATGCTATGGCTCTTGTACAAGAATTTGGTAAGCCTGATTTTTTCCTTACAATCACTTGTAATCCACAATGGCCAGAGATTCAAGAACTCTTAGAACCATTTGAATTATCAACTGATAGACCTGACATTGTTGCTCGTGTGTTTAGAATGAAACTAGAAGAACTAAAAAACGAACTTTTCAAACAACACTTGCTAGGTAAAGTGCAGGCGTATTCATATGTCATTGAGTTTCAAAAAAGAGGATTGCCACATGCCCATATGTTACTTATCATGTATCCAAAATTTAAATTACACAACCCCACAAGCTACGACAAATTTATATCTGCAGAACTTCCTAATAGTAACTTAAACCCCTACTTATTGCAACTCGTCTTGAAACATATGATGCATGGTCCTTGTGGCTCTCAAAACCCAACTAATGTGTGCATGGTTGATGGACAATGTAAGAATCATTACCCAAAGGAATTTGTGGATGAAACAATTCATACTCCAAATGGATATCCTAAGTATAAAAGACAAAATAATGGCATTTTTGTTATTGTGCGTGGACGTACTTTGGACAACCGTTGGGTGGTACCATATAATCCATATTTACTTGCTAAGTTTGATTGTCATATAAACTTGGAAGTATGCTCGAGTGTCAAACTTGTAAAATATCTCTACAAATATGTGTATAAAGGTCATGATCGGGTAACACCCGACACACCTCGTGATGAGATTATTGATTTCCAAACTGGCCGTTGGGTTGCTCCACCTGAAGCTTGTTGGCGTATTTTTGCATTCCCCTTGACAGATATGCACCCTCCTGTACTTGCTCTGCAATTGCATTTACCTAATTTTCAGTACACTTCATTCAAAGTAACAGACTCTTTACAAGATGTTGTAACAAATGCACGTGCCCACAAAACTATGCTTACTGAATTCTTTGTCATGAATGCAACCAACGCATATGCCAAGGCACTTAATCTACTTTACAAAGAGTTCCCAAAACATTTCGTATGGGATCAGGCACATAATAATTGGAATTTTCGCAAACAAGGTTCAATAGTAGGGAGGATTGTTACAGCAAGGCCAACTGACCAAGAAAGATATTTTCTTCGCCTTCTTTTGCAGTACCGTCGTGCTCCTGTATCATACGAGGACTTAAGAACAGTTGATGGTGTTATACATGATTCATTTAGAAATGCATGCGTCGCGTTAGGATTATTAGAGAGTGATATTCCATTGGTGGATTGTTTGCGAGAAGCTGCACTTTTTCAAATGCCCCATGCTTTTGCACAATTATTTGCTACCATACTTGTTTTTTGTACACCATCTGAACCTATACAACTATGGGAGATGTTCAAACAATATTGTGTCCCAATTACCACAATCTCGTCTTCATTTCCACTTTTTCCTATTGATCGTGCTGCTGCCATAATTGTAGAAAAATTCCTTGAACCATTTGGTATGCATATTCATGACTTTGGAATATGCATGCCCGAACAGTCCGAAAATGGCCTAATTGAAATAACTTTACAACAGCCATCGCCTGCAGAATTTAACCTGGTCACACTCCCAGGAATTATTGACAAACTTAATTTACAACAACAGTTCGTCTTTAACACTATTATTGAGAAACTGCATAACAAGAAACCTTATGTCTGTTTTGTTGATGACCAGCTGGTACTGGGAAAACTTTCTTATACACTGCTATTTTGTCATACACATCTGATCATACCATTAAATCTATTGCTGTAGCAACATCTGGAGTTGCTGCATCGCTCCTTCCTAATGGTCAAACTGCCCACTCAAAATTCAAATTGCCATTGGATATTAATGAGCATAAGACTTGTCAGATAAGCAAACAGTCTACCTTAGCAAATGAGTTACGACATACCGACCTAATTATTTGGGATGAAATTTCAATGGCAAGACGTGAACTAATTGAGGCTTTTGACATTACTATGAGAGATATTATGGATAACAACATCAGTTTTGGTGGTAAAGTTATAATCTTCGGGGGGGATTTCCGTCAAATTACTCCTGTCATAAGAGACGGAACAAAGGACCAGTACATCGAAGCAAGTTGTGTATCGTCTCCTCTATTTACACATGCAGATAAGTTTCACTTAACTGTCAACATGCGAGCACAAAACGATAAATCATTTGCAGCATTTATTGAGGAAGTAGGGAACAACTCTTGTGTAAATAACAACAAAGGAGAGATTCAGATCCCAACAACTTCATTGATTACCTCTGAAAATAATGACTTGTTGCAACTAATTGACAAGATCTACCCACACAATTTACTCCATCCAAGTTCCTCTGCTGCATTAATTGGTAGATCTATATTGACACCAACCAACGAGACAGTTGATACTATTAACAATCAAATAATTGAAAGCATGTTTGGAGAACCAATCGTACTAATTGCAAGAGATGTAACTAAAGATCCATCACAACAAGCACATTATGAAGATTACCTAAATACTTTGACACCTAATGGTATGCCACCTCATAGATTAGTTTTGAAGACAGGTGCACCAATAATGCTATTGCGTAACTTAGACCCCACAAATGGCCTTTCAAATGGTACACGGCTTGTTTGCAAGCAAATTACACGCAATCTCTTACAAGCAGAGATTGCAACTGGCCCGCAAAAAGGAACTTTATGCTTCATACCACGAATACCTTTAAAGCCTAACAATATACATGAATGCTCTGTTGAGTTCATACGTACTCAATTTCCAGTGAAGTTGTGCTTCTCAATGACCATTAACAAATCACAAGGGCAGACATTAGACGTTGTTGGAGTGTACATGAAACAACCGGTATTTATGCATGGCCAACTATATGTTGCACTATCATGAGCAAAATCTTTTGACTCTTTGCATGTCCTCATTCCTTCAGACATCAACACTGGAATGCATTGTTCTTGGACGAGAAACATAGTTTACAAGAAGCTTTTACAATTGGCTGGCATTAATATACCTCCACTTCCAAATCCCACATAGTCCGCATCCATAAGAGCCCACCTGCTACCCTTACTCCCACATTATTGTCAACAATCTATTTCTTTTTTATTCAGTTTTTACCTTTTTTGGTCACATCTCATGCCATCTTTAGTTTGTTTCGGGTGATTTTTCATGGATTATATTTTTATGGAGGCTTAAATCAAACATGGTAAGTTCTCTAATATTTTTATGATACACTTAATTTTGTTAGTGTGAGTTACAGTTATGCTGCATTTATTTATTCATGAATCTTCTATTTCTGTCAGAATTTTCAGTCCTGCATTTTCCTACTGTTTGATGCAAGCTGATTTTTAGCTATTTATATTGTTATGCATCTATGGTTTTTTCATGTAGCATATATGTAAACTGACTTTCTATCATCTGCACCTTATGTACGTATATTATCTCTTATAGATTGCTCTCCTATTTGTTGTCAGATGTCAACACTTTGAGTTTGTTATACCTCTGACAAAATATGTGAAGGCTATATACCACACCAAAGTAGGAGATGGCATGCGCTTTCAGAAGCTATTTGAAACTAAAGAATCCAGTGTTCATAACTACGTTGGACATTCATTGCAGTTTATATTATATTATTGCGTTTCAAATTAGGTAATGATCTTCTATTTAATTCTTCAGCTTTGATCCAAACATTTTCGAACATCTAAGATCAGAATTGAGCATCGAAGATCCTGCTAAGATAAAGTATCAACCGGTAATTTATCAAAGAAATCAACAATAGTTTCAATCTAAATTCGTATTGTAGTGGTGATCAAACTTGTCATTACATGACATTTTTTATCGTGATTCCAATTTCCCTTCGTAACGAGATTGTTCCCCTTAATGTTAACAATCAATAATTTATGCACTATGTTTGCTTTCAAATGACTATACAGTAAACATTTTTTTTTATATTGTGTTATGTATTGATTTATTTAGCAATATGGAAATTATATTTCAATCTTCCTAAGCTAATCTTCTTTGTAAATGTCCTGCTTATCACCTGCTATTGGACAATGTTGTACAGGAAATGCTGGGAATGAATCAATCCATATACACAGCCATAGATGTTTCAAAGTCCATTAATGGTTTAGAGATCAAGTATGTGGATATATTACCATTGTTGTTTGCCAGCACTAATCTCTAGATTAATGGGAGATAACTGCCTACAGTACCGGATTTCAGGCAGAAGATTCTTGCTGCCAACAACATACTCTTTGCTAAACTGGAATACATATACTTAACGACAGAAAACTTTTATTTACATATATGATGCATATGCTGTTCCATTACAGCCTTACATTAATTTAGTCCAGACTTATTTGGTATACAACAAAGTCTAATGTGGTCTTAATGCCTAGAACCATTTCATCTCAACATGATTTTTGTATGATAGAATAAAATCGATTCTACAGCTGCAACTCCAAAAATTCTGGGGGCAAGATTTTTAGTGCAACATCACTTTCATAATGATGAAACATGCATTATCTCATCAGCTTCATCCTTGTTAAGATTAATATTGAATGATTACAACTGATATCTTTGTTTTTATATACTGTGTTATCACCTCTGCGTCTATGTGTTTTTTATCCCCGCTCAGTGTGTCAAAGTTTTTTAACGATTTTTATGCAACAATTTCGTCATTTTTGAACAAGTAGAATCCGACTGAAGAAAAGATTATAACCTGTTATGTTTTTCAACATAGAAAGTTTCGCTCGTGTGCCTATTCCCTAATGCAAGGTATGTTGCCCTGAATAAGTCTTAAAGTAGATAATCACCACTTTCCTATTCAATAAGCAAGCATTTACCACTCAATACCCTAACAAATACTAATAACAGAAAACATTTACAATCCAAAACCAAAATCAATTGACCAACTTAGAGATAATAATTAACCATAACAAAATAATAACGTGATAATAATTAAAATAACTACCATTTCAAGTCGTGCTATGCACGAGTGCATACATAATTAAAATATTTAGAAATGAATTAATCAACTATTAATCATAACTATTTCTAAAATAGTATTATATCATACATGTAGATTTAAATGTTAATTTTTATTTGACAATAATTAAAATAATTAACTATATTTATTATTCAACTATTGAAATAAAATAAAAATAAAAATATAAAATACAAAATTAATTTTAATTGAATCTATCATTGAAATTTGTACTCAATTAATAAATATATAAATTTAATTTCAAACAATATATAATGAACAATATTATATTATCCAATATCTTTATATAAGATAATATAAATAAAAAGTAAAATAAAAATTATAGAGAAGAAATATAAAATATAATTATTATTGAGCATAAAAAAAAAATAATAATAGTAATAAATAATGGCAGTAGGATGCTGGATCGGTCAGGATATAAACCGAATGGCCCAAAAGTCCGGAAAAAAAATGTCGAACAGCCGCAGATGTCTATGAAGAGGAAGGTCGGGCAAGGAAGAAGTATAGACAGACGCAGAGGTTTGTGTAGAGGACAGTCTGCCCATCTAAGGAGATAGGACAAATAAAGCTGGTCGGTTGCTCAGTAGCCGGGACCGCAATCGGTTGCCCTGTGTAGGGGCCCACAGTTCCTTGGTCAGCCAACACTTCTCGTGTTCACACGTGTCCTCATCCGACCACATTGTCATTCTCACTTTCTTCAATATCTAACTCTCTGGACCGACCGCAGACTTTCCGCTTTATTGATCCAACTGCAAGCCAACTGACTTACAAACTCCCCGACCTCAGTAATTCCCGACCTGATGACCTTCCCACCTACGGACTTACCGTCCCGACGACCGTCGGACCGCAGGATTTCCCGACCTGGGGACCTCAAGACGTGGGATCTTCCGACCTGAGCACTTACGGAGTTGCAGAGCTCAGGCCTGCGTATCTCCAGACCGGATGACCTCCCGACCGGAAGACATTCCGACCTCCAAACGTCCCGACGTGGGGATTTTCCGACCTCCGAACTTCCCGACTTCCGGACCTCCCGACGTGAGGACCTTCCGCCTTGTGAACCTCTCGACCTGAGGACCTGTCCGACCCGCAATTCCATTAGAAATATATCTCTACTATTCCTGAGTTTCCAACAGGGCCCCTCCGCCAGTTTCATCAAGTGTATTCGTACACACATTTTTCTTTTTATCCTAAGCTTTTTAACATAAATAAAATTTTCATATGTAACAATTTTAGTATTCTACATTACTTAGAAAGCCCTAATCTCAGGGAGATATTTCTCTATTTTCCAATTTTACTTTTTGTTGTTGAAAAACTGCGTCAACAGTTATATTATTTAATATACCTGTTGATGCTTTTTTTTTAACAATAAAAAATAAAATCCGAAAATAGGAAGTTATCTTCGAATTTGATATAATTACTGCCTGAGATTAGGAATCTCTAAACACTGTAGGATACATAAATAAAATAAGAAAAATTAAAACTATAGACTGGAAAATAAAGTGGTGATCCCCAAAAGCAATTCTCTTGAATTTGATGTCGTTTGAAGATGCCCTCTCCTTACCGTACAGAATATTTAAATAACCCCTTGAAGATACGGTTCGAACCGCTATCCGGTCGGTTACCATAACCGCTATTAACTCCCCAAAAAATCCTCTTCTATCGACACATACGAGAACCATCACGTCACGTCCGATTTTAAAAACCGCTCACCAGTCGAAACTACCCCCCACTGCCAGAAATTGCATTTTACCCGACCTATAGGATAACTATTTTTGAATACCTAACCTTCCTATGACCGACCATTTGGAATTTGTCCCGACTAAGTCCGACTTCTATATCCAATCTATTTGGTCCTGACCAGGTCCAATCTTATCAACCGTCCTACTTTCTTCAATCTGACCCTCGGATTCCGACCTGATTACGTCCGATTTAGACGTGCGAACTATTTGGTCCCGAGCGAGTCCAATCTCCTCATTCGCCGGACCTAGGGGATTCACACGACCGGTTTTGGACAAATTCAAAACTCATCCAACCTGGTTACTGCAAATTATATTCGGACTTTCAAAAGCCCATTGGACATTTCGGATGACCTAATCTTGCCAGGCCCATTTCCTAAAACCTATCCATTATTTTCTGCTCAACAAATTGCCTCCTCCCGCCGAAACGTCACTCCTCGAACTACGGAAGACGTGACGTTTTAGGGTTACAATATGATCATTGCACTGCGCTGCGTCAAATCAAAGGGTTTATGTTAAACCCCACTTCAACTTCTCAAACTTACACATTCACAATTCTGAAACCCTTTCTGCACTCGTATAACTCCCTCCTTCGTTTCCCTCCTTCGTTTTCTCCTTCAACCTTTTCTTACCCTCGCGTAAATGGCTAACCAATACGTTCCTGCACTCCCTTTTGACGGAACCGAACCCTCAATACCCCTTGTATCTTCCAAAGTTCTTACCCCTACAATCCGCCCTTACTGCACTACCACTCCCGATGCTGAGCGTATGACTTCAGTCATTGTTCAAGTTTCTCCCATTACCGTGAACAATGAAGCGTTCAAACCGGAACGCCTTCTAGATAGCATCAAGACTCACTTGACCGACCCAAAAGATGCTTACCGGAAATGGTACGCGAGGCTCCTTCCACATTTTGAAAATCAATGGAAAGCCCAAGGGATCGATAAAGCTATTCTCCTTTCGACGCAACCCCTCTACCTCCATGACAAGGTTTTGATGGCCATGGCGGCTTTTTGGCATTCGCAAACAGGTGCCTTTTTCCTCCCTTCAGGTCCAATGGGTCCAACCCTAATGGATGTAGCAGTGATCGCACATTTGCCGATCACTGGAGAGGACCCCGTTCTGGTTTCTCTCGGGAATCAAGAACTTCCCCCCAACCATCAAGGTTGGGCTCTGGCCAAACTGCCTGAAAGAGAAAGAGGGTGGACATACTTTGTCAATAAATATCAGGGTAAGGAGGATACCCCTGTTTCCGAGTTGGAACATACTGCTTTCCTCCTCTTCTGGCTCTGCAGGTATATTTTCTTCCCCATTTTTAAACCTCTTTGATATACACAAAGTTTGAATGTTGAGCTTACATTTCTTTCTTCTTATCTTTCACAGATATATCATTCTCTCCCCTTCTAAACTTGTCCTTTCAACTCATATTGACCTAGCCATTTATCTAGCATGTGGTCATTTCTGTTCTTTAGGGACCTTATTTCTAGCCAACCTCTTTGAAGGTTTATTCCGAGTAAGTTCCCGTCTTACAGATATCAAAAAGGCGGATACTGCAGCCTCAGGACCATTTTGGTTCCTGGAACTGTGGTTCCGTCTATACTTCCCCTCTGCATTTTTTGGTCGCCTCCCAATTTCTCCTAACCCTTATAGGTCTATTGGCTATGCCTTAGCCAGATTAACCCCGAACTCTTCCTGTCTAAAATCCTCCGACTCTATAATAACCCAAATTTTGACCGAAGATCGGAACAATTCCCGGTTTTTTGTATATACAACCTTAATACAATATTCGACCGATCTTTTCTTCCTTTATCCCGACCCTACCTATCCTTTAACTCGCCCAGATCCTCTCCCTCACCCGACCTTTATTTTTTCCTGGGACGCCGCAATAAAACCCCGATCTTTGTTTTCTAGCAGAAGGTCGGACAAGAAGAATCGTAGAACATTTTTCACTTACAATTACCAACCTCAATTTTTGTCGAGGCAATTTGGTTGCTGCCAGGGCATACCAGGGCCATTAGCCAGTCCTCACCTCATATTTCAAAGCCCCGAGGGTCTGGTGATTCCCGAACTCATCCCGACCTATATTTCTCAACTCACCACCTACATCACCTCAAATTCATATCTCCCGTTCTGCCCAAAACCTTCGACAACCGAAGATTTCCCTTCCTGGTGGTCGACCACCTGGTCTTTACTTGCCCCTTCGACTGACCAATTGGTCGGGAGACTTGCTCCACCCCCAGCTCTGGCTCTTGGCTCCGCCCGACTGGCAGTCAGAGGAAGGAAAAGGCCAGACCCTACGGCAGTTGGGTCGGGAGCAAAAAGACAAAAAGCAAAGGCCACTCCTGCTATCGATAGGCAGGCCATCGACAAATATCTGGCTTCTCTGCCAATAGATACTAGCGGGATGCCAAAGTATCTAAGGCAACAATTTGGTAAGTTTTTGTTCCTTTCCTTATGTTATTTTCATGCTGCCCGTTTGTAACTCTAATATGTCTACTTCAGAAGATCCTTCAATGCTCCCGACCACTGGCCCTACCACGTCTCAACCGACCCACCAACAATCGCCCGAACCACAAGTTCCCATCAATTTATCTTCATCCCGATCGACAGCCGTCCCGATCATAGAACAATCATCTATGGTCCGGACCACCGATCGACTAGCCATAGTCCCGATTACCACACAACCGACCCACAGACAATCAGAGGTAAAAGATAGTTTCTGACATTCCTTAGAGACCAACAAAATATATTAATTTTAAACAACAACTTCGAACCTTTTATTGTAGGCACACCGACCAGGCGAATCGATGGGCAGGGTACCTCCTCCCCCAACGTCGGATATCGTTGCGGTGATGCCCGACCAACTTGTTGTCCTCCCCGACCAAGTTGCGGAACCTCAACAAGTAAGCGCTAAACCTTCCTTCAACAACATCCTCCTGATAAAACTTATGATACCTAAAACATATTTGGTCCAGGCTCCTATTGAAGATGTGGTAGTGCCCGACCCCGACCAGGTCGTGGCTTTACCCGACCCGCTTGTTCAGCAAGTTGATGAGGTTCCTATTGTTGGTCCCGAACCAGTCCAACCCGAACCAGTCCAACCACCCGATGAAGTAGAGGAAATTTCCTCCTCAAGATCGGGTGAAGCTTCTGTTAATTTTGCCCCGCTGAATCCGGTTGGTACCCTTTCTCATCCATTTTCGGATTTTATTTTTGCCCATCCAACGGTGACGAAAACTTTTATCTTCTGTTCAGGGTATGGATTTAGCAGCCGCCCAACAACTTCCACCAGGGGATGAATCAGTTGCTGGTCCGATTACCCGACCAGTCAACCCCTCAAATTTCCAACTTATGGCCCCTTCCGAGGCTACAACTGCCCTGGATCAAGTAACCTTCCGCCGTTATTCCTTAAACAATTTTGCCATGTCTTTTAGCTTGCTAATCTCATTCTGGTTCAGGCTGCTCAGGAGATGAACATTTTGACCCGAATAAATCTCCCGACACACGTCAGAACCATTGTGGAACGATGCGCCAATTCGGACTTTGCCGACTTAGAACTGGCTGACCTTTCGGCGTTAGTCCAAGTCGCAATATCCCTATTGGTTCAACCTGCCCTGGAGTCGGGAGCTTCACCAGTTCTCGATCGGATGATGGCCAGGATCACTGAACTTCAAGCTGAACTTCCTCTGATCCGACCCCCATTATCCGAAGCGACCTCCTCTCGTCCGGCAGCAGATCCTAATAATATCGAAGCAGATTTGAAGAAGGCTAACCAAGATCTTAGCGAGACTAGGGCCCGACTAGACGAGCTCACGCAGGAGAGACAAACATTAGCTACTGAAATCGCTCAAAAGACTGAAGAACTACGACGACTTCAAGAACGATTGGAAGCCATAGATGATAGCATACAAGAGGGAAGTCGTCTGGTTGAAACACATTGCCTTAACCAAGCCAGTCTTTGCGACCAACTTCAGGCAGCGATTCAAATGAGACTCGTCCAGAGACACCAAGAAGCATACCAACGTCGTCGTGCCATCAAGTCAGAACTCAAATGGGCCGATCTAAAAACTGCTTTACGGGCGCTTCTCTCCTTGTAATACAAATATATTCACCTAACTTAAAAACTAGAATACTTATTTAAACGAATATTATATTTATCTTTCCTTAATATTTCCCCTCATATTAATATATATATATAATGTAGGAATTCCCAGTCTGAAAGTATCGACATTTGAACTGATTACTTTACGGTCACAAGTTTACAATCAATGTTCATAGTATACATATTTATATATATTTATTAATTGTATGGTACTTGAATTTAATATATTTGAATATGTGGGCCCAATGCATGCCTAAGTTATGCCCTAATTAATATATTCTAGAAGTACATAATTAACTATAGTTGAAGAATGTTAATTTGGTGATTGTTGATTGATGGGATTAATTAATAATATTAGTATTTTATTTTACATAGCCATGATGTTTGTTTAAAGGGGAGAAAGAAACTTTTAATTGATTTACTTTTATTTTTCTTTAAAAAATAAATAAAATAGAAGATGATTAAATTTTGTCCCAATGGAGTTTAATGAGTTATTAGGTGACATGTCCCTTGGAATTTGGATGAATAAAATAATAATTGATAAAATATATATATATATATTTTTAAAAATAAAAAGAAAGAGTAGAAATTCAGCATGCATTAATTTGGAACTGTAGAGTTAGCCTTATATTACATCTTTAATTAATACTTCCTCTTCAACTAAAAATAGTCCATTTGTGTTCGTCAAACTACAGACCAACGGACCAACTTCCTTTTGTCAGACTCCAAACCAACTGACTTGCCTATCCGACTGCGTAACATTCCATCTCCATCTTCGCCAGACTTCCTCTTTCAACAGACCTCTGAGCCGTTTAGCTTATATTCAGACCCATCCAAAACCGTACTACGGTTATTAATTATTATTATTATTATTTTTTCCGCCCAACAAGAATAATAATAATAATAATAATGGTTCAAATAGAAAAAAAGTAATGCATTTATGATAATGAATACCCAAAAAAACAGACTCTCATACAACCAACCATTTAAATAAACACACAATTTACAAAAATACTAACTGCAATCACATCCCTTACCTTGAATTCAGCTACAAAGTTAATCTACATACGTAACTATATCTACCAGAGCCAATCTACCCGACAAAAATAAACACATAGAGTCTGCCACTCACTAACCTCTATCACTTCTTACATGAAAAAACGTGTCACTCACTAACTTCTATCACTTCTTACATAAAAGTTACCACTCTAACACAGCAACCACTCTAACAAAGCAACACGCCAACAACATCCATTTAATTATAAAGACAAGATTCACTTTCAATACGTGCTACATTCTTCCTTAGCTTTTCTTTTTCACACATTTCATCACTCTTCCATCAATTCTCCTTACTGCTAATCACTACAAGCCAATGGCCAACCACATAACACCCATAACTGATTTAACCATGGAAAATAGAAACTGGACAGTCCGTGCGTTACTCGTAGAGATGTCCGCTATCAGAACAGCCAAGACCAGTGGAAAGCCCTACAGACGATACGTCTTTGTTGACACACAGGTATTCAAACAATCCTGCTTATAAAAATAATTGATTGAATTTATGTACTACTATCTAAATTTTACATTTAATATACTTTATTTAATATGGAATAAAATTTAAAATTAATCATATTTACTATGCTTATAATTTACTATTAGTTATTTTATAGTAGAAGAAAATTGATACATTAATTTTCTACATTACTAATTAGTTTTTTCGGGGTTAACTATCTTATTTACTTATTTTGTAGGGCACCAAACTCATGACGTGTGCCTTTTCTGCGGACATGGAAGCATATGATCATTGTTTAAAACTCTTTAAGACCTACGAGATATTTGCTAAACAAGGCAAAGAGTACAAGACGGATCTACCAAACTTCAACTCTGAAATCCAGCTCTATCTCAACAAACACTGCAGCATCGTCCCTGTTGAATCTGATCCCATATCTTCTCTAACTGGAAAGCCATCTTTCAAAAAGCTCTCATGCATTGTTGATTGCCTAGCAACAAATGAGTACATCGGTATAACTCCTATTATGTTTATGCTTTAATTCATTTGCTTGTCCATATTTTTGCATTTATACCTAATATATGATACATATCAAACAGATGTGGTCGGTGTACTGATAGATGTTGCAGAACAAAAGCAAAGAAACAAACGTCAACAACCGACCTCTTCCAACATTATAGGAGATCGTGTTCAAGAGATTGTAATCGTAACTGAGGAGTAAGCATAGATTCAAGTACAGTTATTTTGGTATCATTATATTTTTATCACCTTTTTCACATCAGTGTATGTATTCATCTTTAATCACAATTTATTTCTTCTAAAAGAAGTTATGTCAATAATTATGCCTGTCAACTATATTTTTAAATAAATATACTAAATTTTTATCAGCTTCCATTTCTATTCGACATCTTTTAATAGTACACTAAATTTACCAAATTAAAGTAGCATATGTTCTTCACACAGTTTTCTCCATTAATTTTCATCATAATAGATTGCTACCGACAAGACTGACCTTATGGAATGAATTGGTGGACGCTGAAGGAAAATACTTCACATCCATTGTGAAGGAAAGACCTATCATTGCGGCCCTCCACCTGAAAGCAACACTATATGCAGGTAGTTTATGCATCAACCGTATTTGACTGAACACATATAAATTATTGTCAATACTTGTATCGTAGTCCACCTAATGACCATTTCACTTCATTTGATTCTATATTCGTATGTGAAGGAATTTCGTTGTCTGCAATTTCCATGGCAAATTTTATTGTTGATCCTCCATATCCTGAAGCTGACAATCTATTGAGCTGGTATTCTTTTCTATATCAAATCAATATTTTATATTTTTCATATCACAACACTACACTCCCATTGAAAATCAATTACAAATTTCATTTTAATTCAAAACACTTTACATCACAGGAAACTCAATAATAAGGTATGCATTGACGAACTCGTAATCAAAAAACCATACTTCAACACAGCCGAAGGAAGCCCGCTAGCTGTAGTAACTCTCTCAACAATTGCAACCATGTCACAATCTACTCGCGTGAGTTATTTATAATGTATATTTGTATATATACAAATAAAACATAATAAAGTAATCAAAAACTTGCCTGATATAGCAAGGTGAGTACAAAATCAATGGATGTTTGTCAATCAAAGTGGATAAGAAAGTGCAACTCCACTACAACGCCTGCGATAAGTGTTACACATCAACTCCAGCACCAACAGCACGGCAGTTTTTTTGTTTAAGGTGCAAATCTGTCCAATCGTCAGAGCAAAAGTAAGAAAGACTACTCATTCTACTTTTTACACATTTAAAATTTGATATATATTTATATACACGTAACAGTACACATATACAAACAGGTCAATTCTGCGCTTACAGATTGTTGCTCAGACAGGATCAATTACCTGCGTTGCTTATGACAATATAGCGCAACAAATTCTGAACTTTGACATACCAGAGTCAAATGAACTAGGACAACAGGTAAAACTTTAAATATTTCATCAAAGTACTATACTGTCTCATTATATATATATATTACACAGGAAATCATTTCACTATGCAATCTGCGCAATCAAGAACTTGAAAACCAATCATACCTCTTTCACATAAAGAAAAAGGCCGCCGCACCATCCCAAACAGAAACACATACTTACACACTTATGTCTGCTTCCAAAGAAAACAAAGGTACATTACATTATCATGAAAACAACTATGACTATCATAGGGTGTAATCATATACCACTCATTTTATATAACAAATAAAATTCATGTACAGATAAGGAAATTGCTGCCGAAGAAACATTGTCAAAGAACCACCCTATTGTACCCAAACACACTGGGATAACACCTGAAATGCAGGAGAAGGCAACCTGCACAACTGCTACCTTAGAATCATCTGTTCCTGGTAAGAACAACAATATATCATCCTAACAATATAAAATAATAAACATAACTCCAATTTCATAGTTTCAACTATACTTATACAAAAAACATTATTTAGGTAACTATGCAAAGAACTTGCTTCCACTGTTCAATGAGTTGGAATCTATCAATGATCAGAAATCAAAGGATCAAGCATCAACGGTCAAGAATTCTGTCGCTCCACCGAAAGAATCCAAAAAATAGTTGTCAAGCTTTTCTACAACATCTTTTGTTTTGTACTACATCCAACTACTAAACTACCTACCTTTTTGTAATATTACTATCCGATGTGTACATACAACATTTTGAATATCTATCGGCTACATATATTTATCAAATTTCTTATTACTATAAATTCATAATTCGATTGTGTTGATGTATTTTTTCAACAAACAAAAAATAAAATTCAAAGATATGGAAATATCCTTAAATTTGATTAATTATATTAGGAATCTCTAAACACTGTAAGGTACATATAAGTGTTAATGTATTTTTTCAACAAACAAAAGGTAAAATCCGAAAATAGGACCAAAAGACAAAAAAAAGACTCCTTCGCCGCCCCCACCAAGAGACCAAACTACTGTTCACTTAGTGGGCACCCGACTTATCTTGTTCTGACTACGTACCAACCGACTTGCTTATCAGATCCCATCCCATCCGACCCGCTTACCCGATTGCTAACTAACCGACCTGCCTGTCCAACATGCTTACCAACCGACTTTCAGACTTTCCGATATATAGACCATCCGACCCGCCAACCGACCGACCTCACTATACAACCGCAAACCGTCCGACCTACAAACTTTCCGACCTATGGACCATCCGACCCCCTAACCAACCGACCTGACTATCCGACCGCAGACCTTCCCACTTGCCGAACCTACCGAAGACCAACCGACTTGACTATCCCACAGCGGACCAACCGACCTGAACGCAAAATTTACTTCTTTTCCACCTGACTTCGTGCATAACTTCCTCTAAGATCCTGCTACCCTTATTTTTATTATTATTTTTTGTGCGTAACAGATTGCATTACAGAATAGTCGCGCGGTATACCGCGCAAAAGCGGGTTCTAGTATATATATATATCTCGGTTCGGGCACCACAAGCTGAATTAATTACTATTATTTAATCATAAAATATATTAATGATTCATATTAATTTAAGGGGTAAAATTATTATTTTGTCATCAATATATAGATTACTTTTTATTTTGTAGGGTAAATCATTTTAAATAATAGAATTTTTTTCCTCTCCATCTCATTCAATCGAAGTATAAAATCATCAAAAACAAATTAGCATTGTTCAACGCTATGGATTGAATTGAAAAAAAAAAATGACATCTTTCAAAATGATAGAAATGAGGATTTCATTCAGAGAATATTGAATTCCGATAAATTTCGTTTCGAAAGTAAATTTTTAGATATTTTATTTTACCATATCATATACGTATTCTAAAAATATTATCTTAGACAACATAAGAGAGCATTTCGATAATAAATGTCCAACATTTCATCTCTTGTATTTTAGAAGGTGGCAAATATATTCAATTTTCATTCATAATCATTTTCAAAACACATAAAAAAAAAAAAAAAAATTGTCAGATTCTATACTTATTCTTACTTCTCATTCTTACAAACTTTACGACTGTCATATTAAAAGATATTAAAAATAATCATTTATTAGAATTTTTAAACTTTGTTTTATATTTTTTATTTTCAAAATTTTCATAAAATTTGACCTCTAAATCAAGTTTCACAAATTTTTTTTGAAAATCTATAGTCATAGCTTTGGAAATATGAAATTTAACCATACTTATTATATCCATAAATAAATTAAAACATCAATTTATCATTGTAATTTATAAAAATTTAATTTATTAATTAACATACTATAAAATTCACTCATGATTATATACAAATATTTATATTTTTCAAAAAATATTTAGCCCAAAAAATCGAATAAACTTATTATTATGAAATATTTTCTGTAAATAAAATTGATAACTTGTAACATGTAGCATAGTCTTAGCAATGGCATCATTTTCATACTGGTAATATAGTATATCTCGATATTTTCAAAAGTATATTACATTGTTGAATACATCGTATTATATAACAATATCATCTACTCATGTAGACTATTATGACTAGACGACTGCAACTTTTTCAAGCCCTGACATTCCATACAAAATTTATTGTGAGTATGCTCATATCAGGAGTTTTCTGTTCGAATTCAAATGTAGAAAATGTCGAAAAATAATCCCGAGCGTTGCAATACATCTAATATTGGTGCAATAAGAAGAGAAAAAATTAGTGAAATTAACATAATAATACAATATCATATTTGAATGCTATATACATAATTTTGCACAAAAAAAACATCATCTCGTTAAATTTAGATAAATTTTTAACATAATTTTTATACACACGTGACAATATATACACCATAGCAAATTTCTTATTGGTCAGTACACATTAATCTTCTCTATTAGAAAATATGAAACCATCTCGATTGACATCTTAATAACTCAATATTTTAAAAATGTGTTCTACACTCATAGTCATTGGATCCACAAATAATAACCCTTTAAAACAGTTTTCATAATGTATTACCTCAAGGAATCGCCATTTAGATGAAAAAGCTTCTGGTTTTTTTATGTCGATCACCTTCTTCGACACATATGAAAATTTTGTGAATGTGATTTTCGTGATGGACTTTGTCGTCTTCTCAATATCTCTCTATATTCCAGCCATTGAAATGGTCTAAGAGATCGATGGAGACAATGAAATTGAAAATTGAATTTGCACGGAGTGGAAAATCGAATTTAGACAGTGAGAAAACACGACATCAATGGACAATTTCACGGATGACACCGATGGCGTCGGAATCAGGAGGTGAGGGATCTCGATTCGCGGTGTAGAAGGATATGAGGGTGGGGGTGGTTGACCTTTGGCGACTTTTTGACGACAAGACAACGGGAGGGTTTTTGGGGCGCGAGACAAGCAAGAGGATCTTGGGACTATGAGACGGTGGGGGAAGAAGAGAGAATTAAATAAGGTTAATTATTGTATGATTTTTCTTTTTTTTTTTGTTTTATTTTTTTAATTATTGAAGATACTCAAACTTTATAAATTAATTGTGTTATATGGAAAGAATAAAATATAATATAGAATATTGTAGTAAAATATGGGAAGAAATATTATATTAGGGGTGTGTTTCTTTAGGGGTGTTTGGAAAAAATTGGGTTTCGGTTTGGTTTTTATTTGAATTTTGAATTTTGTTGTTTCTTTTGTGTTTGTGTTTGGTTGGGGTTTGGGGAGTTTTGATGTGTATTGATTTGATGGATAATGAATAAAATAATATAAAGTGTGTATTAAATTTAATTGATAAAATTTATATTGTATGATTTGATTATGAATTTATATTATACCCAACATATATATATATAAATTTTTATTTATTTGTATTATAGAAAATTTTATTCTCTACAAAATGACATATATATTGTATATATTTTTTTACCATATAATTATTATAAATATTAAATAAATATAATATTTTGAAAAAAAAAAAAAATATGACATCAATGGCAGCTTTTTGCTGCCATTTCCTGTCCTGTCCGCGGGGTGGGGGGGGGGAGGGGGTTCGGTTTGGCGCCGAATTTACCGTGCACAGTAAATTCGGCCCAAACTGCCTAAAAGAAACACACCGTAGGTGTTTTATATAACAAATATTTTTATAAATAATTGTGATTTATTTTTCTAAAAATAAATCCTTAAATTCATGCTGATTTTTTTCTAATCAATCTTATTATTTTAGAAAATAATAAACGATAAATAATTTAGAAAAATATATCATTTTGTCACACTACTTACATTATTTTTAAATATTTCTCACATCATACCGTTCATGTTAAATTTTAAATCATACATATCTTAATACCTTGTAGGGAGCATATGTTCGTGTTGTTAATATCATATTACTTTAAATGTATATATTTCGGTTAAAATTTAATATATCAGATTTTCATAATTTATGATGATTCTTATTTCCAAATATAACGTACACAATTAATATTATTGATTTTTTTAATTAAAAAGTCATAATAATAATTTTAATACAATACCTAAAATGTCCCCGATCATTATGAGCCACAAGATTATAAAATACAATGATCTAACGGAGGAGATTAATTCAGCATGGTTATGAACTTAATATATGTTCAGCACCATACCAGCCGCCATATATATATATAAACACTAGTGCCCGTTTGCGGCGTTATGTTTTCTAATGTAACTTTGATATGTATTATAGCTCATGGGATCCTCTATCATAAAAATAAACCATATCTCTATATTCCTACACAAAAAAAAAAAATATATACGTGTGTATGTATACACATTATGTACGTGAGGATAGGGGGATAGGCAGTGTTAATGGAATAGAAGATCCGATCTAGTATTATCAGTAATATAGTATAATTCATTAAAATTATATCGATATTTTCATTTAAGATGTATGTACATAATCTTCCACTTGATTTTTTTAGAGTAATGTTTTAGGATAAATTATATAATACATAAAACACCTCGTGCTTTATTTATTACGTAAAATCTCATTGTGTTAATTTAAAGTTTGGATAAAGGATATTTGAGTGTAAATACAAACTTAATTATGCAGTTTTATACCAATAAAAAAATAAAATATTTTAAATAATTTTTGTTTGAATAAATTAAAATAAATAAATAATATATCAATCTTTATCTTTAGAGTTTTTTTTTTTTTTTTTTTTTTGTAAAAAATCAAATAGTAAACGACGAAGTATTTTATGCATTTTTCTTAAAACAAAAAAAAGATGTTATATAATTTATTATTATTTTTTTAATATAAATAAATTTAGTATATACTCTAGTCTTTTGATAGATATTTCTTTGAAATTCTGCTAATATGTTAAAAAAATTGTTACAATGTGTTCTTTTATGGGTTGTTTAGATAAAATCTATTGAGTCTG